TATTGTTCACGGATGAATCTCGTTTCTGTCTGTGGAGAAATGACGGCCGTCGACGGGTATGGCGGCGACCCGGAGAACGCTACGAACCAGCCCATTACGCCGAGCGTCACAACGGTCCTACACCGGGCATCATGGTTTGGGGTGGCATAATGTTTGATCGCAGAACGCCCCTGGTACACATTCACGGCAGTTTGACAGCGGACCGCTACGTCACACAAGTTGTGTATCCCGTTGTTCTGCCCTTGTTGCAGGGCGCACCCAACACGGTATTCCAGCAAGACAATGCCAGGCCGCATGTCGCACGGCGAACTCTTAACAGTCTGACTGGATTTGACATCCTTCCCTAGCCGGCAGCCTCTCCAGATCTGAATCCCATAGAACAGTGTTCCCCAACCCCCGGTCCACGGACCGGTACTGGTCCGCGGATCAAATGGTACCGGGCCGCCCATTTCATTGAAACTGAATTTAAATTCCTTAGTTTATACCCCAAATTAAAAATATCAGTGTTCCATTAAAATTTTATTTCTTTAAAAAAAGCTCCCCCCCCCACCCGAAGATAGTGACATAGATTTTTTAATGTTTGTAATGTATCATTGTCTCCGATTACCCCCAGATGGAACCGTCTCATTGCAAAGAAACAAGCTCAAGGCTCTCATTGATTTAACGTTCTAAGAAGTTAAAATGTTAAATCACTTTATATTCATTTTTTGGTGTAACTGTATTTTATTTTGAAGGCATGCTTAAATATAATTAAATTAAAATTAATAAATCAAAATAATCTGAAATGTAAACAATCAACGTCTCCCCCCCCCCTCCCAGAGGGTGGCGGTAAAATTATCAAACGCTGACAGGTCCGCAGTGATAAAAAGGTTGGGGAACACTGCTTTAAATCACCTAACCCTACTCGTTCACCTGGGTGCAAAACTTATTACAAATTTTCTTAAGTAATTTCTGCGGTTTGTCAAGGGAACAATAATATTGTGCGGCCCCTAGTTTATCTATTATTTCGCTCGGTGTAGCATATATTATGCTATAATATATGAGCGAGCTTCAAAATTGTAGGTTTATAACTGAATTTCATAAGGAAAGTGAAAGGTTTAATTTAAATGAACAAGAAAAACAAGCCAATTTGCTCAGATTTCCCAGGAGCTACCTCCTCGGCCATGTAAATATTGTGATAAGCTTCGGATCACCAATGCTTACTGATGGTGCCAAAATTTCGTAAGAAAGCAGAATTTCTTAGTTGCTTTAAAAGAAAAAAAAAATTGCGAAGAAACCATTCTTCTGTAAAGAAGGATTACAATAAAACTACCTTATTTCAAATTGAAGAAAAATATTAAATCAAGTTTAGTACGTTTGATATTAGTTTCTATCAGAGTTAATATGATGACTCTTGGAAACATATATATATATATATCAGTTGATGGCTCTTAGTGGAAAAAATTTCATTCCATAAAGAAAACATTTCTTTCCAAAACTTTTGCTAATTTGTCGATTATTTTGCTTAGAAAAAGCTAAATTTTGCAGAATAAAAAATCTGGAGCAATCGAATATAGCCAGATATGAATTATTCATATGCTGTTAAGAAAAATAAAACTGACAAAATATTTCAGCACATAATCTGATTTTTACACAAATTTATTCCTTGAAGAGTTTAAACTTCAAATCGATTTATTTTTTAACATTTATTTTTAAGAATGGGTTTTATTTGCGACTACAAATAAAACGTCATTTGCTAGTAAAAGCAAACAGGAATACTACTTTATTCATTTAAGAAGGCTAATACTTAGTGTTTTTATCTAGAAAAATCTGTTCTTATTGATTGTCCCCCCCCCTTTTTTTATGGTTTACGACAGGAAATACAAATTTTTGGTCCTTTTGCTTTTAAAAGGAATGAAAACTGATTTTATGATATAAATGGCTAGAATTTTGCGCATTTAATTTTATTTTCATTAAAATAATTATTTTTAAACATGGAACTGTGTAATGCTTAAATTCGTTTAACCAGCATACAAGTCACCACATCGTAGGGAGGAATCTAAAAATTATCAGAGATAATTTTTGATCAACAATTATCAAATCATCTTATTTTATTTTATAACCGTCGTTGAACAGCTGACTCAATTTTTTGGGTTTACGACTACTAATGTTCAATTCCGTAGCCTTGTAATTTTGAACCCAATCCCGAAGACAAGGGAACTGCAGGATCAAGTATTAGGAAAAATTTGTCTTCGTGGAAGACTTTTTGTTGGAACTAACCCGCATTTGCGTTACACGGAGAGGAAAACTACGAAAACCTCCCACGGACAACCTGACGGAAAGGGGACTCTAAACCATGATCCGTCTACCACTGAGGAGATTCCATTCAATCATAGTCTTCCAACACAGTAGCCATAAATAATCCATGAATAGGAGATAAACACTAGAAAAACATCAAGTATCAAAAATAATTTTACACTTAGCATACCATAAATGTTAACCAGTTATGACTGAAAATCAGTCTAAATGAAAATGACTAAACATTAAAGATGACTTAACATACGACTAAAACATTAAAGAATAAGACATAAATGGCTGAGAGTGCAACGAACATATATTTTTCTACAGTCCAATAAGTTTACTCTCACTTACTGTGCAATTTGCGCATGCAAGGTTCATACGTGCCTGTAAAATAAATTAATGTGAGCAAGTTTTATGTAAAGTCATAATATCACTAAAAGTGCTTGGACTCCACAAACTCTGTTTGGTATTTAAAATTAGTTAAATAAAGCAATAATTGAAAGAGTTTAGAGTTGCACGGCACTATGGGAGAGAAACTTTTCAACTTGTTACAGCAGATCTGCATAGAACAAAATTTTATTAACTGCTAAATTTGACAAAATATTTCATATCATTTGATTTTTTTTTCTTGATTTGTGTTATACCTTTGTATTTTTAGTTTAATTAGCTTCCAAGGTTTCGAAAATTATTTTGTTATTTGAGGATTGCAACTGATTAGAATATCAATTTTAAAAAATTATGTATAGTTTAAAAATGCTTTATTTATGCACATTGAGTTTTTGGGGTATTAAAATGTGTTTTAATTTGTTAAGATTATTGCGTATCTTAAAAATGCTTTATTTCATGTGTTTTCTTAGTTCGATTTCAAGCAATATGACATGTTATATCCCCTCTAGCTACACCACAGGAGATACCTGCTTTTCACAATCAGACCTATTACAGCATCTGGATTTTATTTTGAAGGAGAGACAATTTGTTTTGAACGAAATAGAATTATAATAATTTACAAGCAGAAAGAAAAATTCCAGGATGCTGAAAAAAAATCCTGATTAAGCTCTAGTTTCATTTTGTAGGAGAGAGTATTTGTTTTGAATGAAAAAGAATTCTAATTGAGTTTAATTAAAAAGAATTCTAATAATTTACAAAGAAAAAAAATTTTTTTTGATAAAATAAATGAATACAATAAGTTAAAAATATAAAATAAATCTAGACAAAGCAAGTTTCATTTTGTAGGAAAGATGATATGTTTTGAAAGAAAAAGAATCCTAATTTAGTTGAATTGAAAAGAATTCTAATAATTTACAATGAGATAGAAAAATTCAAGGAAGTTGAAAAAAAATTCCTGATTAATTAAATGAACGAAAAACGTTAAAAGTATAAAATAAATCTAGAAAAAGCGAGTTTCATTTTGTAGGAAAGAGGATTTGTTTTGAACGAAAAAGAATTCTAATTTAGTTGAATTGAAAAGAATTCTAATAATTTACTATAAGAAAGAAAAATTCTAGAAAGTTGGAAAAAAAAATCCCGATTAACTAAATGTGCGAAAAACATTAAAAGTATAAAATAAATCTAGAAAAAGCGAGTTTCATTTTGTAGGAAAGAGGATTTGTTTTGAATGAAAAAGAATTCTAATTGAGTATAATTGAATTTTAATTTACAATAAGAAAAAAAAATTCTGGGACATAGAAAAAAATATTAATAAACTAAATAACATTATAATAAAAAAAATTTAAAGGCCTTATGAATTTCATAACTGCAAAATAAGATTTTGTGCCCAAAATTATTTGGATACACAGGCAAATAGGTATCTTATTTTATAACATATGTATAGATAATTAAAAAAAAAAAAGCATGTTTCATAAAGAAAAACTTGATCAATCAAAATAACTTTCTAATTTTTTTATTATATAAATATTATTGTATGCACATCAATTATAAATAATTTATCACATATTTAACATATAATTATATTACATAACAGTTATAGAATTATAAAATTTAAAAACACAATTTAATGAAAATTTATCACAGATATTAACATAGCACTTTGAGATGTAACAAAAAGAGAATTATTGTTCGAAATTTTAAAGCATTTATTCAAAATGAATGATAAAGGAAATTAAAAAAAATTATTTTCATTAATTTTTGAATTAAAAGCAATATTAATGATAAGGTTTATTTAAATAGATATATAATTGTCACTTCTAAACATACTACAATAGGATGCTAAGCTACCTTCATTATGCATTTAAAACAAAAATATAAAATTCCAATTAATTTTTAAATAATTTATTATATTTATTTATTCCATACTCTTCGCAAATATTTCAATCTGCTCAAGGACTACAACCAATTTTTGAGTTTTTAACATAAATACTTATTTCAGTGCTTCATTTATCATTAAGCTTTTTTTAAAAAATAAATAAAATAATCTCACAGATTTTATATTTTCATACATTAAAAGAGCGTTTTTAATAATTAAGGCTCACAAGTTTTTGATTGGAGAAAACATTATCATCAGAATTTCAAGTAATGAGTGTGTTTATCATTTAAAATGCAACACATAGCTCACACAACAAGTGAATACCAAAATACTATTAGCTTTTAAAATATGGGCAACTAAGTTGAACTACAACAAAAATGTAGCAATAGTTTAGTCAGGAAATAAAAAAAGTTTAACCTTAAATAGTCCACAAAATTGAACTAATTCTTGAGAATTGGAAATTTTGAAAAAATCTAGCTTTTTTAAAGCATTATTTTTCTAAATGTATACAACAGATTCAGTTTAAATTTTCCCACTTAAAATTATGAACAAATTGCAATGCCTTGCTTTACAGTTCAAAATATTTTTGATCATCATTAAGTCAAATAATTAATATTCATTTACATGGTCATCAAATGTTTAAAGGATCAATTTATCTCTTTCGGGATTTAAAATAACTATTATTAATTATTATAAAAGTCAATATTAAATTAAAAATCTTATTATGATAATCAACATATATTATAATAGTATCTTTAGAAAAGTGATGTTTACAACTATGAGTAAAAATATTTTGATTTGTGAAAACTCATCCAGAAATATTGCAAAATGACACAAATTTAATATCGAGGGTTACAAATTTCTTATAATTTCCAAATGAAACAATTCAAGTAAGATATAAATGACTTCAGCTACACCCCCTGTTTTAAAAATAAGGTATCTTAAAAAAAAAGAGTTTATAAAGAGAAAGTAAGCTTTTATATCTGATTTCATAACATAAACCCCAATTAATTAAATAGTGCAGCCTCTCAAAACACAAGGATTGCATGTCAGTACATGAAAATACAACTGTTAGATCAAAAGTTATTAGGGCGTTTTTTTCTTTGAATAAATAAAATAAAAAATACACTAAGATCACTGTGGATAATGCATATATTAAAAATTTCTACTATTCTTAAACAAATTTCACATAAAATTCTATGCCAAACACTGCTATAAAGAATTGAATAACAAAATAAAATTTTTTTCCTTTAAATATAATTAAAATTACTATAAACAAGGGTGGTTGTGACACAAAGAGAAAATTTTATGTACGAAAACTCAATAAGATATTTTATATACTATTCATATGCAATATGATTTTTGGAATTAAAATTTATAATTAAATTACCTACAAAGGAAGAATATCACATCTTTATGGTAACTAATTTAAGAAAAAAGTTAGTTCTCAGAAGATATTGAACTTTTAAATCTCGTAAATACGAATTGCGATGCATGATCACGTGAATAGAAATAGCGATATTGGATTTTTAAATCACGTGAATACGAATCTCAATGTACAGTTTTTAAATTGTGTGAATAAGAGTCATAACATGCAGCTTTTAAATCAAATAAATACGAAAATCAATGTTTGATCTTAAAATCACACGCATATGAATTGCGATATTAGTGGATTCCAGCATGGTATCAGTTATTTAAAACGGTAAAAATTCGACAAAAAAACTAATTGGCAGGAGAATTATGTGTATGAAAACGTCTCGTGAACGTGTATTAGTGAAAGTTTTAAAATTTAAATTTCTCAACGCAGAACTCTCAATGCTTACCTCTTACTTTAAATGTTAAATTACGGTAAAAATTTCGACGGATTATACGCCAGGTGATTTCGACAGATTTTGATTTGCGGACTTTCATGAATCAATGGACTTGAGATATGAGGAATTCCAAGGAAAAAATCATAAGCCCTGCTTCTAGACTTAGAAGGACGATACAAAAAACCAAAAATTCTGGGGTACAACCGGAACACAATCAAGCCTGTATAAAATATGTGCGTTACTTGTAAACAAATTTTATAACAAAATCAGTATTCAAAATAAATCATGAATATAAAAATTTAAATCTAATTGTTAAAATATTTTTATATATACATATAACATTTGAAAAGATTTATACAAAATATAAAGAAATATAAATATATATATGAATTGGAAAATATTAGATACTATTCATATAGAAAAAGCTCTGTCATTTTCTTTCTTACTAAGAGTTTTGATCAATTCGTTTAAATTTTTTTTTTCTTTTTAGAAAACTTAAAGTAACTATCACATTTGTGCACATAATGTTTGAATTTCTAAACTAAATATATGGAATTTTGGCAATTTGCTTGTACTTGAACCATAATATTTGTAAAGAATAATAAATACATAAAGTTCATATATGCATAATTTGTAAAGAATAAAGAATACATAAAGCTCATATATTCATTGTTAGTTATTGAGAAACAGAAAGACGAGACACTTTTCTAAGAAATAAATTGTTCAAAATATCCTTTATGTCTGGCAAATCAAACAGAATTTCTAAAAATTCTTCCATTCCTGACCTAAAAGAAAGAACATGAATATTTATAAAAATAGAATACAGCCACTATAATGAACCTAGAATATAGTGTGTTGTAAATATTTAGTGGTCCAGTTTGTTTAACTATATTCAGGGTATCTGCTACATTTTAGATTTTCAATTCATGACTTTCGACAAATAATTCCATGAATTTTTCATGACTTAACGAAGTTACTATTTTCTCCACAAAAAACACAACAATAAATTTAAAAAAAAACATTATAACAACACTAATTGAAATGATAGGTAAAACCGAAACTGTTATACTCTGCATCTTCATATTTATTGATTTTAAACTTAAGAAACAGAGTAAAGAAAGAGTTGAAGCAATAAAATAAATGAAAAAAAAATAAAATACAAAAGCAAATAACTAAATACTGTCAGATATATGTAGTTAGTTAAAGCTGTTTTATTTCACCTTAAAGTGTGTGCGTAAACTAGAATTTTAAATTAATAAAATAAAATAAAAAAATAAATAAAAATATCCTGAAAACACAGAAGTTTAGAAGATAATTCGCTCTACTTGAAATGGCATTCTTTCTTTCATTTTTTGAACAAAAAAAAACACCATAATTTTTAAAGAACAAAATAAAAACATTTTATATTTTAATAGAATATGAGTATGAGTGGGGTGAATTCCATTTTAAAAATTAGGATTTTTCGGCAACCCAAACCCATAATTATCCATGATTTTTTTAAAAAAATAATAGTTTAAATCATGAAATTTCATGACAAATTTTGTTCAATACCAAAATCCATGACTTTCCAGGTGCACAGATACCTTGTATATTTGTTTTAAAACTTATAGTAAACAGCTGACTAATGATATAACGTTTATGGTATCGATGGAAAACTTTTTTTCAGTTGATGTAATAATGTCATAAGTATATACTTTTTACGTAATAATGCACATCAGAAAGTAGTGTTTAAAATGTGTCATTTGGCTGGAATAAATAATGAGATTGGTTTCAAAATCCGGGTTGCCACTGATACAGGGTTCTCACTCAATTCCAGGAAAAATATTCCCTGACTTTTCCAGGTATATCAGATAAATTTTAACGAAAATCCATACCATATTTTATCTATACCGTGATATTTTTCATCAGAAAACTTTGATTCCTTTATTAGTAATATCAAACTTTGTGAGCAAAAACATATAATAGAATGAAAAATAAAAAAGTTTCAAGGTGAAATTTTATAAAAATAAGTGTAATAGATGTTAGAATTATTTAAATCAAATCTCTATAACTGATTACTGTTATTGACAATTCTAAGATTGGTTATTTTCCAGGTTTTTTGTAAGAAATTGCAACTTTCCCTGACTATTCCCTGCTTTTTAGAGTTAAAATAAAATTCCCTGACAATTCCAGGTTTTCCTTGTTCTCCTTGACCCATGGGAACCCTGTGATATCTGTAAAAAAAATTCCCTGTGTTTTCTCTGCACATATTATACACAATATATTAAGAGAAAACATATTATATTAGGACTGTATATAGTATATATAGCACTGCACTATATTAGGATAAAAATGCTAGTTTCAGTTTCTGGAAAAACTTGGGGAAATAAGAAAAAGCTCAACATAAAAACGAATAATGTTATAATCAGGGCCCGACTTAGCCTAATTGGGGCCCGGGATAAAACTTCTTCAGAGGCCTTCCTCTGCTTCACTACTGCAGTAATGAAGAAACCAAATTTATGAAGGTATTTAAATTTTTCACCTCATTATAGATATATAACAAGAAAATTGACTAGAAACTAAAATAGCGATAAAGTCCCCCCTTTTCCAATGGTCAGACGAAATATCCTTCTGTCCATTTTATTGATTTCCGGATTGTTATCTTTGTCATCTAGCTGCGAAAATTTCATATCCTTGCTGATATTAGGGTGGTTTACAGCTAAATTTTCGCAAGTAGGATGGCTCAATTAAACGAATCAGAAGCCTGTATTTCTGCAAACATATCGCATGTTGATATCTGTAAAAATACAGGCTTTTGATTGGTCAAATTTGTCCATCGCAATTGCAAACATTTAGCTGAATTCTGCCTTAGAAAGTGGGGGATTTACGAAATATAGATTCTTTGTGTCCATACGATAGATTACTGAAGAAGCTAATATAAAACTGAAGGATTTTACACTGTACTGATATTTTGTATGAAAAAAGTTCACTAAATAAGGAAACGTAAAATAAGCTTTCTATTTGATTTGGGGCCCCGGGGCAACTGCCTTATAACTGCCGGGTATGCCCTTGCCTTAGTCAGACTCTGGCTATAATAAATGAGCAAATATAATATAGCTAAACTATAATCTTTTAACAGGATGCGTAGCCAAATCTTTCAACAAAAAATAATCACCTTCTAAGAATTTTTTAAGCACTCAAAAATATTTTCAAATGCTTATTTACAAACTATCACATTAACAAACTATTACATTACTATTACATTCACAAAATGCAAAATTATTTCCAAAGACTTTACATGAACATGATAAAATAACTGGTTTCTGATAAAGAACACTCTTCTTGACTATATTAGTCATTATAAAATGATTGAGAGATTTTTTGGTTTCATATCAGAAGATGGAAAATGGAGAGTGAAATTGAGAATATCTTGCAAAATGCAGCAGAGTTGCACATGAGAGTGCCAGAATCTCAACGAACTCAGTCAGTAAACGCACACGCCGACTCGCAAGTATTTCCTCAAACATGTAAAACTATTGCTTTCATATGTTATGGATTGCCGGTACGATGAATTGGATTATGGTTGAATGAATTGTGAAAACGTTGAATAGAATAATGTAAAAAATACGCTTTTGCATAATACATAGCAAACATTGATATTGTAAAGAAAATAAAAATCTCATTTCCGAAATGGGAAAATTAATTATTTCTTAAAAACACCTAATAAAAAAGCACCTCTAAGGGCTTTTAAAAAACGAAAGCACCTTAAAGCACTTTTTAAAAACACTATGCACCATGCTTAATATTCCATATGTTGTGCTTTGAGAGGTCTGCTTTTTTTAAAAGACAAAAATAAGAAATAAAACTCCCCGTTTTTTTTCTCAGTTTGTAAAGAAAAAGTCAAAATTCCCTGCATTTTCCCTGTTATTCTAGCAGATTTTTAAAATCCCTGTATTTTCCAGGTTTTTCCTATTCTCCCAGTGGAGTGGCAACCCTGAAAAACATACCCATAAGAGAGAGAATTTGGATGCATAGAATTTCCATTCTTAATTTCAACTTTCTGTTAAAATAATGGAAATCAAAGCGATCAACACCTAAAAAAATTCATTATAATGAAGAGAATCACTTCAGCAGATGGAGAAGATTTGAATGTTACGAAATATTCCAAATAAAAACTTTGTTATAAGAAGAAATTAAGCGTAAGAACACTTTGTTGAGGAGAGATTCTACATTTAGTAATCTGTATAAAGCAAATTACATACTTGACTATCACTATTTTCTGATAATTTTTTTCTAAGATTTTGAATAAAACGAATCATCCTTTAGTGGGCTTATTTCTGGGCCGGGATAGCCTGGATGGTAGGATGTCAAACTCGTGTTTGTGAGGACAGTAGTTCAAATTCAGCCGGCCGAAGAATCCTGTATGTATTAAATGATGACTGGTCACATTAAATCTGTCGGGGTCATAAAGTACTCCAGATTCCCATAACAATTCAATACCTCTGATAGCACTGGATCGGAGATTGATTATGCTCTAGTTCAGATCAAAATTATTATAAGTGGATGGATGAAAGGTGTGATAATGAGTCCTCCCTATAAAACTGTTTGTGAGGTATGTGTGTGGCAAAATCGTATCCTTGGACATAGATGGCACCACTGAAAAACAAGAAGAGAACCCTTTGCCTTAAAAATTTGTTTGATTTCAAGCAGGCTGGCCCATATTGGCAAGTGGCATATGTAGTAACAATAACAACTTTTCTGGGTTCATAGATTATTATACTAAGGCAAAAAAATTTACCATAGACATACAGATGGCAATCTATGGATATCGTAGAAATTTATAAGACAAGACGCTATAAGTATATGGTTACAATCAAAATTTGTATGATATACATATAGTAAGACACCATAAGGCTATGATTATCAGAGAAATTTGCATAGCATTTTATGGAGGGACACCATAGCCTTATGGTATGTTTAAAGGTAAGTACCATAGGCATAAAACAAGGTAAGAGAAACACACTATTCACATGCATCATTCATACGGGAATGTGGATAAGGTTGCGAGGGGGGAAGGCTTGTTTTACAGCAACTCCGATAATCCAGCTAAATTCTGCGTTAATTAAACCGATCTATTAAAAACAATAGTACTTTTCAATTATTTCAACAAAAAAAACAACAGCATTTTAACTTATAAAATTTCCCGAGCTGCCAGGTCGACATCAATACCTCAATGAAGCGTTAATTTGCCAAAGAGGTTTTTTTTTATTTACTTTTTGTACAAAGCCGTTTTATTATTATTACTAGTATTTCTTTTTTTTTNTTTTTTTTTTTTTTTTTTTTTTTTTTTTTTTTTTTTTTTTTTTTTTTTTGAATTTCAAAGGAAATAGATTTAAAACTTTTTGAAATTATTGAACATCCAATTAGTTTTGACAATGTTTATAGAAATTTTTGAACTTAGTCTATTTTATAAACAACCTGATTTTGGATTTAAATGATATTAGAAGCATCTAGAAACAAATTANTTAGTGGTTCTTCTTATATATATATATATATATATATATATTTTTTTGAATTTCAAAAGAAATAGATTTAAAACTTCTTGAAATTATTGAACATCCAATTAGTTTTGACAATGTTTATAGAAATTTTTGAACTTAGTCTATTTTATAAACAACCTGATTTTGGATTTAAATGATATTAGAAGCATCTAGAAACAAATTAGCTCTCACTGCTACAATAATGTTTTGTGAACTTCAGTAACATCAAAAATTATGTTTTGCGTCTTTTTGCGATTATCGCGATGAATCTGTGACGTTTTGATTGACTTTGGATTAATAAACAGTAGAGAAGTAACAAATTTGTAAGACCATTCCAATTTATTTTTTAAATAACTCATATTAACTTTACTTTATTTATGTTTTCTAATTAATTTTTGTTGTAAAGATATGAATCATCCATGTATATTGTCCTTTGCTTTTTTACATTGATGTTTCTCATGTTTAACTACTCAAAATCTGACCTTATTTTGTCTTAATATAATCATTCTTCCAAATGAAAAGAACTTACTGTAATTTAATGACCCTTGTCTATGTATAAATTTCCCTTTATGGAGTTGTATGATAAAATTCAATAGGGCTGTGAAGAAATGTTGTCATAGTCTATGGAAAAATTTCAAAGGCTAAAGCACACCATAGTTTTATGGCAAAATTTTTTATATACAATTTACCATATACCGATGTGGTCATACCTATGGTAGAATTTTACCTCATACTTTTGTCTCATATGTATGGCAAAAATTTTTCATATGGTAAAAACTTTGCCATACGTTTATGGCAAAATTCTATGGTAAAATTTTACCATAAGCAAAACCCCATAGGCATCCCTGTGGTTGAATATTTTTGGGCTTTCTGCGACATCTCTCCAGTACCGATATCTTTCAGATAGATACTTTTAATAATAACAAATACACATGTTACTAATTTAAAATAACAGATGCGTCAACTTAAAAAAAAAAAAAAAATCGGATAAATTTTTTTTTTTTAAAATTGAATATGCAATAGTTTTTTTATTCTAATATTATGGGTAATATGCTCGCCTTTTGTAGGGGAAAACACACACATCATTTCCTTTTTCACATTTTGTATATCATCACATTGAAACAAATAATAATAAAAATTTGTCAAATCCATAGCTATAACTAACAAAAAAAAGATTGAAGGAGAAATCATGTGAATGAGACTCTTCAAAAAGGGATGCTAAATGCATGTTTTCATTTTGAGATTCAGTTGTAGTAAATAATACCGTGTTAAAAAATACTGAATTTTAAAAACTATGTGAAAATTAACAATAATAAATGCAAAAAAAATAGAATTCAACAGAGAAGGAAACTAAATGTTTTACTTTATTTTTCAATATTCTCAAATGAGAATAGAAAAATCATAAGCATTTTTTTTCTACTCAGAAGAGCGAGAAAGGCATCTTTTCAATATAATTCTGAAGAAAAGATAAAATCTTTTAAAACATTTCTGCAGAAAAGAATACCATAATTTCTTACTTCACAAAGAAAAAATCTTTCTGCAAAAAGTCGGTACTGTTCTGCGACAATGTCGCTGTGTCACTGTAATTCTGCAACGGGACAAAGGCATATCCTATGGTATTTCTTTATGGCAAATAGTTCTAAGGGAGGGTCTAACTGTAATTAAAAATCAAAATGAAAAATGTACACTTACTGAGAAAGCACATTCAATACAACAGCTGTTTCTGATACAAGGAGATAATTTATTAAACGACAACAGTGCATCTTAGGGATCTCAAAATTGGATTTCAAGAGTTTGGAAATGATAACTGGAAGATGATGAATCTGTTGAATAGAATAAAATCAACATTGTATGTTTCTTAAAAATAAATTTATTGAAACACATAATAATCATATCCAATCAAGAAACCATATTTAATTTAATACTTCAATTGTTTATATGAATTTATGTATGTAAAATGCAATTTAAAAAAGTAGCTTAATTAAAAAAAAAAACTTTTGTTTTAATAGCAATATCTTGAATAAAATATGAAAAGTGTGTGCATTTATAAAAAAAAAATTCAACAAGTATTTCTCATTAAGCTTTTCAATAAGAGGAAATGGTACGTAATTGGTATCAAATCAGATTGGTTCAAAATTTTTAACAATAAGACATTATAGCAAAATCAATGTAAAATATATATATTTCAAATTTAAAAAAAGTTCACAAAATTAACAGTTTCGGCAAAAAATTATTAACAACTTGTGAGGAACGAAACATTATCTTTTCAACTTTAACAAGCATTAAATAAAGAATACATAGAGAGAAGAAAGCTCTCATACACTTAAATTGTGTTCTTTCTTTAGCGGAAATTTTTTGTTTCACCAGTATCTCTTTCATAAATAAAGAAGTAATAGTAGTATTTACCACACACAGAAAATTGGATGGACATTCTGAAAAATTAGCTAATCCTCTTCCTATCTGTCCAAGTAGCTCAGCATCATAATCATTCACCAGTGACAGCAGTTCACACATAGCAGTTACATATTCGTGAGCAATGTCCTATTAAAAAAAATAATATTACAGGAATAATCAAATAGGACAAAAATATTTTTAGTGAACTTCACTTCAAGCATAAAAGCCTTTAGGTAAAATTGCACTAAAGTTTCCTGGCTACACAGCTTTTTTCTCATTAGACATTTACTTATTTTTTAGGCAAATGCTTAAATTTTTTTTAAATAAAATACTTAGTTGTAACAATTAAGATTTAATAAAAAATTAATTTTTGACTAAATTAGAGAGTTAGACACAGAGTTTACATTAGCAGTAAGCAATGTGCATAAATTAGATTTAAAAAAATCAATTAGAGTGTGAGATTCTGCATCTGGTGATGCCTTTTTTCAAATGCTTAAATTTTTACAAAATAAAATACTTAACCTTAGAAATTTATTTTATTGAAACAAAAATAAAATGTAATAAAAAAAATTGATTTTTGACAAAATTAGAGTTAGACATAGAGTTAACAAGGTGAATCAATTAGATACAAAAATCAATTAGATAATGAGATTTCATAACTGGTGATGCCTTTTTTCATGATTTAATTTTTAAAAAAATAAAATACTTAACCTTAAAATTTTATTTTACTATAACATCATTAAAATTTAATAAAATATTAATTTTTGATTAAATTAGAGAGTTAGACAGACTTAACATTAGCATTGAGCAAGGTGAATCAATCAGACTCAAGTTAAAATTTTTGATGGTCCCATCAAAATGTTTTAATGGTTTCTGTTGGTCTCATTGAGATTCATGATGGTCTAACATCATCCAACATTTTTCCTTATGCGTTCCAGTTTTTGGATATGTCAACAAACTTCCATCATTCTATGATGAAAAATGCAACTTTAATACTATGACGGTTAACCATCAAGAGAAGTTTGATTTTCATGAACCAACAATCCATGATTATCCGTGATGGTCCTCGATGGCTCCAAATATATATTTTCATGATGGTTCAATGGATATTCTTGCTGGTTCTCAGGAATTTCCCATCAAAAAATTTGGTTTTTTTATGTTGCACCATCATAAATCAGTCTGAATTCCTACATTAGGATAATGGTGGTTCATGATTGTTCCAACATTTGATTTCTAAGAAACTCTAATGGAAATTTCTAATGGTTCAACATAAACAAACCATCAAAACAAGTTGGTATTCTTATGTTGGGCCATAATAAATCAGTACAAATTCCTACATCAGGGTGTGATGGTTATTTATGTTGGTCACCCTCGAAAATATAATGGTTCATGATGGAATTATTGATGGTTACCATCAATATTATGTTGGTCCATCAATGGAATTTTAACTTGGGGATACAAAAATCAATTAGAGTATGAGATTCCATATTTGGTGACGCCTTTTTTTCAAATGCTTACATTTTTTAAAAATAAAATACTTAACCTTAAAATTTAATTTTACTGTAACATAATTAAAACTTAAGTCTGCACACGTCTGGGAAGACTTTAAACTAGTTTTTGATAGGAATCGACTTCCATCACAACTGAAGTGAGTAACTGCAGCAAAGACTGGCTACCCAAAAGTGTTTTATGGAATCTGAGAAGGCCAGTCCAGTTCTTGAACACCCATTTTGACAAATCAAGTCTGTGCAAGCGTGTGAATGGTATCCTGCTGGAAGAGAAATGGACCGAAATATTGCAAAAAGAGTTAGGTGTGGAGCATTGTCCACTTACATCTCAGAGTTGATGCTTCCAACCACAGCCCCAAACCACGAGAAACACCCCCAAACCATTATGCTTACACCAACCGGGTGTCTGGATACAGAGATAGTTAGTAAGAAAAATAATTTTGTTTTAACTTTGCACAAATGACTTAAGCATCAAAAATTAATTTAAATATCCTTATAAAAAAATCTGAAAGGAAATTATAAAAGAGTAATTGAATACAGCAGTAGAAGGAAAAAAAGAACTTACTTGATTAATGGAAATAGAAACATTTGATACAATACAGACTGCATTGACCAGCACACTTTCACAAGTTCCTTTCATCAGAAAAAGAAGGGGTTTTGTTTTCTGCATTTCTTCCTGCAAAATAATAATCCAATGAAATTACCATAATTGAATCAAAGAATCTCAACAGGTAATCCACTGTTACTCAGTGATAGAATTCAACTGTTAGGCACACAGTTCTTAAAATTTCACAATGCTATTGATTTAAAAATTACGTTTTAGCACGAGTTCGGTTTGTATTTTGTAGAAATAAGTGTATTGTACGTTTTAACTATATTGGAGCTTTTAATATATTTCAAAAAATTTTCTAGTTATTATTTTGATTAAATAAAAAAAGCAACAAAGTTCAGTGGATTATTTTCTTAAAAAATATGAAAAAAACATTCAATTCGGTTGAAGGAACAAGCAGGAAATTCTGTTTATACAGAAGAAACATTAAGTGGTAACCGAAAAAATGAAACTAATATTCTTGAACGGAAGATAAAAGTAATATTTTAAATTCAGTACGTGGTTACAGCTTCATAAAATTTCTAAAGTAGCACGTAATTTAAAAATTAAAATAACACCAATATTTTTTTGAAAAAAAAATTGGTCTTATTTACAAATCACCGAATCACCCCTCACACCAACAAATCACCCCTCCCCCTATTATCTCTAATTTCTCTATGCTTCGATCACTCACATTAATTATGGATAAGGAGCACATGAATGTAGAATTCTTCGTAATAAAAATATTGAAAGACTTAAACACGAAGAAAATTTGTACAACAATTCAGTACAATTTGTATAACAATATTTTAATTTCCTAATTAGCAAGATAAAAAATAGATTTTTGTGGGAAGAGTTGTTATCAATGTCAACCCTCATCTATGATAAGGTACCCAACCATAGAATCGAGTTAGCATGTCTTATATACTAGTGAATTGGAATTGTATTTTTGTAGTGATAGATACACTCCAGTACTCCCCCACCAGAATTATATCTGTGATAGAATTTGATGAACGAATACCACTAGTTGCTTGCTGTTTTGTGAGAAGCCGGGACAGCTGTAATAAGATCACCATACTTTTTTGACTGCTGATCGTGAGAGCTGTATTAAGTTCATGGCCATGGTCGCTCCTGTGTTGCCTTTAGAAGCCGAGTGTATACGTTGTACATTGTGTGTGATCTAGACTGAGTAGCAACAGCACTAGGAGATGGATAATGTCGCAGTCACAAGTAGCAAGTCAACTGTTCGATGTGGACTATCCGTATCCATCGAAGTCATCATCATGGATGGCTCGACAGCCCAGGGGGGGGGGGCATAGGCCTGCTCAAGAAGTTTTTTCCCTGCTAACCTTTTTTTGCTAGTGTTTTTCAATTTTTAGTTTTTAAAACCAAAAGGTCTTTCTCTAGGGCAGTGGTCCCCAACCTTTTTGTACCTAAGAGCAAATACCAGAATATCGGTCGAATGGCGGGCACCATTTATTTTTTCAACATAAATTTATAGTTGGTAGACATAGGTAATAATACACACTACATATAGTGCACAAAAAATTAAATTTCAAAAATTAATTTAACATATGAATGCAATTAATATTTTTGTGTAAAATAAATGATTACTAAATTGCTTTTAAAACATACGAAGTATAAAAATTATTTATAAAATTCAGTGGCATGTGGTGTTTGGCATGGTATTTCGCTGACCAGCGCTACATAATTGGGAGAATATGATGCTCTTTTTAAGAATGGAATTTAGTCCTTCAAATATATTCCAGAATTTCTCATGTGATATAATAGTTTTGAGGATAATGTCATCCAATGGAGATCCAAAATCTCTATATCCAATTCTTCTCGCTTTACTTGAAGATATTCCGAAATGTATGTTGCTATTACGGTTACGTTTGTTTGGTTGGTAAGAGGATTAACAAAAAAGTTATCAAAGGCTCGATGATATTAAATTGCTGCTATTAAATTGATCTTTAAGCAATTGGAGGTTGATGACAAATGTCAATTTCACTGCCACCTATCACTTTTTTCATGTTTGGAAAATGCACAAGAGACTTCATTTTCAAATGTGATATCCACAAAACTAGCTTAGCTCTGAACGAGTTAACAGCCTCTATCATTTTTGCTTTATGTTTGTCCTTTCCCTGCAGCTCCAAGTTTAAATAATTTAGTTTTTTCCTTACGTCTATTATGAAAGACAAATCTGCTAGCCAAAGAGGATCTATCTCTTAGTTCTAAAAATGTATGATTTTTGGTTGCAAGATAATTTTTTATTTCTCCAATTATATGTAGAAATCTATTCAAATACTTTACCTTTACTGAGCCAGCGTTTATTGGGAAAATAGAAAACTGAAATATTTTATAGTTGAGCAGCGGGCGCACCTAGATCGATCGACGGGCGCCATGGTGCCCGCGGGCATAGAGTTGGGGACCCCTGCTCTAGGGTATCTACCAATCTCAAATTCGGCCTGCCTCTTTTTCGTGTGCCAACTGGTCTGGCATTGAAAACTCTTTATGTGGTACGGTCTTCGTCCATTCTGATAACGTGGCTTTCCCACTTTATTCTTTGTCGTTTAATAAAGTTAATAATGTCAAGTTCATTATATGTGTGATAAAGCTCTAAATTTGATCATCTAAGCTACACACCATTTTTTGAATTCCTCCAAAAATACTTCTCAAAACCTTTCTCTCAAAGGTACCCAACATATCTTCATCCGTACAACATATGGTCCAGGTTTCACAAGCATATGTTAAAATTGATCTTATAAGAGATTTATATAATAAAACTTTTGTTTTTATACGAGTTACATTAGATTTTATGTATTTTCGAATTCCATTAAAACAGTTATTGGCTATAGTAATTCTTTTTATTTCCATTGCGGTATTGTTCCTGTTGTTGATTACAGAACCCAAGTAAACGAAATTGTCAACAACCTCAAATTTATATTCTTCAATTTCTAAATGGGTGTTATTGAATTTTGTTTTAGTACAGGGCAAATATTTAGTTTTACTCTTGTTTATTCTCAGGGCCCATCTTGAGAGCCGCTTTCTCTAAAGAAATAAAAGCCTGCCTTAGTGCTATAGGTGTTTTAGAAAAAACGTCTATGTCATCAGCAAAGGCCAACAGTTGTACAGATTTATTAAAAATAGTTCCCCTGATGTTAATGTTGGAATCTCTTATTACTTTTTCTAAGACTAAATTGAAGAGTAGGCATGCCAATGCACCCCAATGTCGCACACCATTAATTATTACCATTGGGCTTGATAGATTATTCTGTATTTTGACCCTAGTTTTGGTTTCATTTAGTGTTAGGCATATCAGCCTAGGTAACTTTTTAGGCATTTTAAACTCGCTCAAGGCTGCAATGACGGCTTTTCTATTGATGCTATCGTAGGCAGCTTTAAAATCAATGAAAAGTTAGTGTGTATCTATTCCAAATTCTTTAGTCTTCTCCAGCACCTGCCGAATGTAAAATATTTGCTCAGTGGTGGATCTTCTTTTCCTAAATTCATCTTGATAGTCTCCAACCAGTTTTTCTACAAATGGAGAGAGTCTGTTGTATAAAATATTTGAAAATACTTTATAGCTTGTACAAAGCAAGCTAATACTTCTATAGTTAGAGCATTCAAGTAAATTGCCTTTCTTGTGTATTACACAGGTTACACTCGTTCCATTTGTCAGGGATTATTTCCTAATCCCAAATTGCTTTTATTAAGTTATGTATGTACTTAGTCATTTTAATTCCACCATTTTTCAGTAATTCGGATGCAATAGCATCAGGACCAGGTGCTTTATTGTCTTTAAGTTTGTTAATACCTTCAGCTACTTCTTTTAACGATGGTGGTACAGTCTCATCTTGGATGACAGTTTGTATGTTTTCTGTACATATCTCATATCCATAGATGTCTGTGTTCAGTAGACAATCGAAATGTTCATTCCATCTCTTCAACACCTCTGTTCTATCACTCATTCCTTATGATGACATGAGGTAATTCTTGGTTTGAATTCTATACGCCCGAGATTGATTTCCCGAAAGAAAGCTCTGCTTTCATTAGTATCTCTCAAATGTTCAAAATTTTTAAGGAGATATTCAAAAAATTTCCTTCTTTTTTGTTTTGCGAATTCCTTTTTCCTCTCTTCTTGCATCCTTGTGCGCAATCACTGAATTTCTTGAATGTCTCTTGCTCAGCATTTTGCCATATGCCATTTTTTCTTTTTGTAGCCAAGAAACATTCATTATCAAACCAGTCCTTTATTTTTGCTTTCTTAACCTTTTCCACAACTTGGTTACCAACTTCAATGTGTTGAAATTAAATTACAATTGCAAATAAACAGATCATTTTGAGAAAAAGAAATATTTTAATAAAGATTATAACATAAGACAAACTTAGACGAAAAAAAAAGAACACTTCTATTGATATATTTTCTATATAAATAGAAGTGTTCTTTTTTTCCGTCTAAGTTTGTCTTATGTTATAATCTTTTTCTCAAAATGATCTGTTTATTTACAATTGTAATTTAATTTCAACACGTTATCAGCGCGACGCTCTGTGTAAATAAATATTAGAAATTCGGATCTAAGAAGATAGGCAGCACAATAATAATCGCCGCTATGGAAGAATACAAATTGAAGAAGCTGAACGGCGAAAATTATCATGCATGGGCAATACGTGCCCGTGCACTGATGGTGCAGAAAAAATGCTGGGAGGCAGTTGAGTCTGGCTATGGACTTGCTGAAATGTCCGAAAATGAGAGAAAGAAAAATGATGAAGCATTAACTCTAATGTTCTTGATTGTAGAATATACGTTTTTGGATGATATTGGCCACTGCGCCAAGGCGAGGGACTCATGGATTGTATTGAAAGATATGCATACTAAATTTGGCTTACTGCATGTTTTGCAATTAATGAAGGACTTTTTTAACATTACCTTGAAGCCTTAGTTTGAAAGACTTGCTCTAACCCTTGCCATGACCAGAAAATGGTCAGAATTCAGGTTAGTACCATGATAAGTTCTTACATCCAGTATGTCTGTCTTGTGTCTTGAATCTATTAAGTAATGGTTTATTTGATTGTTAGTGTCTCCATCAGGAGAACTCCAAGTTATTTTATGATTTTTTTTAAGTTGAAACATTGTGCTTGGTATTATCAAATTATTGCCTGCTGCAAAATCAATAAGTCACCTTTCATTATCATTTGTAACGTCATGAAGTCTATACTTATCGATAATTGGTCTAAATTCGTTTTCCTTCCCACTTTTTGCATTTCATTTGCATCACCCAGTATAATTTTGACATCGTTTTTCGGGCTAGATGCATACAGTGCCTGTAGTTTTCGTAGAAGAACTCCTTTTCCAAACTATCTTTGTCCTCCGTTGGAGCATGAAAATTAATAAAACTATAATTAAAAAAAAGATTCCTTTTATTCTAATTTTACACAGCATAGATGACTTACAAAGTCAATTAGAAGAGGTCTTATTCGCTTACTCAGTATAAAGCCAGTGCCAAATATATGCATGTTTTTATCACAGCTATAGACAATCATGTGGTTTTATCACAGCTTTGGTTTTTCACACAATCATTGGTTTTTCTTTTCAACTATTCCTCTCCTATCCATCTCATCGCTTGTAAATAGCTAGTATATTAATTCTAAAATAATCAATCTGCTCAATTAGCATTTGCAATCCTTTATTCCTATATAAAGAACGAATATTCCATAATCCAATTTTCAAGTCTTTAAAGCCTTTTCTTTACCAAATCGTCTCTTTGTAGTCAGTCTGTGGTTTTTTCTTCTTGAGATCTCGTAACAATAGTTTTTTTACAGTGTAGAGTCGTTAACCTTACGCCCAGCCCCCAACCTGGAGGGCCAGTCTCCTGATAAAATCCACAGAAGCAGGGTGCCCATTTTAGTCGCCTCTTACGACATGCATGAGCTACGATGGGACTATTCCTTCAAATCCGGTCACCACACGGGTTATCCATCAAAGTAGGCATGTTAAAATCGTAGTGAGAGTTTCTGCCAAGGTAGACGTATTCGCATCATGTCAGGGCCACCAATGTGGGAACAGTAGCTATCGACAATGTCAACTTTGATCTAAAAAGATAGGTACCCCACTGTTCAATGCGGACCATTCATTGAAGTAGGCATTTTTAGATGGAAAAGAGCGTTACTGTCAAGATAGGCGAAAGTGGGAGTTTTTGTTATGGTAGGCGTGTTCACATCATTAATGTGGGGAGAGGATTACAGAGAATGTAAACCTTCATCTATGAAAAGGTACCCCACCATAGAATCGAGTTAACATGTCTTACATATTAGTGAATAGGAATTGTATTTTTGCAGTGATAGATACACTACAGATTTCATTTTTCAACTTGGCCACACTTGCGCAATAAAGAGTCATTCCTCAATAGTAACGGCAATATCATGATAGTTACAGAAGATAAAATTTTAAAAGTTGCACAAAAAATATTTTTTTAAAAGAAGTTTAATGACTTAATTTAGCATTTTGTTTAGTTATACAAAAAAAGTCTTTATGTTAAGTAGGAAAAAATATTTTAAAAAGAAATAAAATGATCAAACCTGTATGATTAAGTCTCGAAAGGCTTGTGACCCAGCAGATAAATAAACTAGAATTTTAGAAATACAGTTTTGCATCTAAAGTAAATAAGTCTAATTAAACAGTAATATAAAATATTGATACATTGATAGAATGAGAATGATAGTTTTTAGGTTTTATCGTAATGTGTTCATGCATATATATGTATTACTGAACTTTTTTATTGTAGAAATATGGAGTCCCCCCCCCAAAAAAAAAGAAGAGGCAAAATTAGACTTTTTTATTTATTTATTCATTAATTCAAATTATTATATTCTTTAATAGTTATATCAGGAATGGCAAGTTTCTTCTGCCCTGTATGAAATAGGTATCTTCCAACTTAAGCAGAAGAAATACTTCTCCAAAAACTAATATCTCACGTAATATTTAAACAGTTTATAATTTAAATCTAGTTTAAACAGCAGAATTACTTTTCAAGCAATTTAATGCATTATTTTTAAATAAATAAAAACTATAAAGCAATAGTTGATGAAAAAAAATTATGAATTACAGTAGTTTTTCAAATGTTTTACATAAATGCGTATAGCAAAATTTTATTCATTCGACTAAATTAGCAAATCATATACTAAACATATAAACTACTAAAAAACATATATTGAATGAACAATTACAAATAACATACCAATTTTGTTAAACATAAATACTACAACCAAGTCTTAAATAGTATGACTTGTAGATTTTTAAAACTAAGAATCACCATCATCATAATTTGTGAGACAGCCCAATGTGGGCCAATGCCTTCCCCTGAAGATTTCTCCATAATGACTTCTGTTTTATCTTTCATCTCCAATTCATTTCATTAATTGCAAGAAAATCCGACTCCACCCAATCAGCCCATCTCAACCGCGTCCTTGCCTGCTTTCTTGTTCCAGTGGGTCTAAAAAGCAATATCTTTTTTATTGTATTATCATCATTCATTCGAATCACATGGACCATCTAATTTATTTTTATGTAACTTATATCAGGTTTATAAATCTTGTACAGTTCGAAGTTAAATCTCCCTCTCCAATTATTGTTTTCATTTACACCACCAAGTATACTCCACCCTACGTCAAGATCGGCCTGACAAGAGTTTTGTAAATTAAGAATTTTGCTTTTCTAGAAAGAAATCTAGATTTAATAAATTTTCTCAGCCCATAAACAGTCCTATTTGCAAGATAGTCAGTTTTTTATTTCAAGAGACAATCTGTTATCAATAGCAATAATTGATCCAAAGTAAGTAAAAGTAAAACTAATAATAATAACATAAAAATATAGTTAAATTTATACTAAAAAAGTAAAGGTAAAAAACTTCTGGCACTTTATTAAATTTAAGCTATTCTTATAACACTTTTTGTAAAAAAAAATTGTATTGATCTTTTTAAATTTCTTTCATTTAAATCAGTTTCTCCAGCTTTTTAAAGTTCCCTGGAAGAAATAGGTTTTTCCTAGAGAAAATGCCCACCCTAGGTTAAAACGTTCAAAACACACACTGTATTATTTTATTTATATATTTTTAGACAAACAATTAGCAAAAAAGAATAGAAACCTAATATATTATAGGGTTGCCAGTCAAATTTGGGATGAAAAATTCCCTGTACATATTACACACAATATATTAAGAGGAAACACTATCACTGTGCCCTTGTGTGTGAGCTATATTTTATTTAATTGCTAGAAAAACTTGAAATAAGAAACAGTTCAACATACATAAAACAAATAAAGCTATAGTAAATGAAATAGTTTAGCATACAAGGGTGATTGTGACACAAAATGAAAAACCCTGAAAATTTTATGTGCAAAAACTCGATATCAATTTATGTACCATATATTTTTCGTATTTAACATAATAATTTTTAAGCAATATTTATAATTAAATTATCTACCAGTGAAGAATATCAAACCTTTATAGTAACTAATTTAGGAAAAATCTTAGTTCTTACGAAATTCGCAATGTAGGATTTTTAAACCACGTGAATACGGATCATGATACGAGATTGTTAAATTAAAAATCGCAGAGCGTAATTTTAAAATTAGGTAAAAACGAAAATTGATGTGTGATATTCTAAGTGTGCGAGTAGAAATCGCGATATTAGCAGGTTCCGGCGCAGTTCCAAATATTCAGAATGGTGAAAATTCGACTAACTAAAAGAACCAACTGGCTGAAGAATCACTTGCATGTAGCGTCTCCTTAGCAAGAAAAAGCGAAAGTTTCAAAATTTGATATTGGATTCTGTATTTCTGTGAAAATGTCGTTAGATTATAAATTTTTGATTAGTGAAAGTCCGAGAACCAATGGTCTTGAGAAACACGGAATTCCGCGGTATTCCCAGAAAAATCATATACCTACACCCAATTTTTAGGCCTGGAAGGATAATATGAAAAATCCAAAATTCCGGGTTACGCCTTGAATACAATCATCCCTGAAGCTGAAATATCATCCTTGAATATCCCATATAATGCGCTATGAGCAGTCACCACATTTAAAAAACGAAAATAAGAAATAGAATTCCCTGCATTTTTCCAATATGTAAGGAAAAACTCAAAATTCCCTGCATTATCCCTATTATTTTAGGTGATTTTGAAATTCCCTGTATTTTCCAGGTTTTCCCCATGGTGGAGTGGCAACCCTTTATTAGAATAAAACAAAAATTACCTGATAATCTTCAATCAGAAGAGCATCAAAAAGGTATTTAATAATGTTCGAATGATTCTGAAATAAATAAGGATATGATCAATAATAAACATAGAATAAAAACGAATAAACTTAGAGCTAAAATTATAAATAAAACAAAACATGCATCAAATAATTATCAATTAATAAGACTATCATTATAATCAATTCTTTTACACATATATTTAAAGGCATAAAGCTTAGTTTTGGTTTTAATCTCAATTTATAATAGATTTTTATTTACCAATTTTATTCAATTCATTTGTGAATGATGAACGTATATATGTACTAGCAATAAGTTATTTTAAAGGACTAACTACTATGCTTATTTCGAATTCTGAAAAAATACTTAATATCCATAATACAGTAGAGAACCAATTATCCGGGATGCTCGGGACCATCGCTNTAGTACTACAAATAAGTTTACTAATAAAAATAATTAATTTTAGCTTGAAATAATAAATTATTTTTTACTGTTTAATTTTTAACTAAGAAATTAATAAAAAAAATTATTGCCAAAATTGTTTTTACTGAGGAAGTTAATAAATTTTTTATTCTTAAAATTTTAATACAACAGTGCTTGTGTTAAATACAATTTAAAAATTTGTATAGGTGTTTTGAAAACAAATTTTTTTTCCTTCAAAAGAGCAGTTCATCCACTATAAGAGACTGCTTTTTGTTGATGATAAAATAAAACACATTAGATTTCGTAGTAGGGAAAAGAAAAAGTTATAAAATTTTTTTTTTAAACATTTAACTTATACCAGACAACTTTTAAAAATGTTAAACAACAAACTAAGAAAAAGCATAATTTCTTTGCCGAAGTATAATAAAGGCAGATTTTATTACGGAAGAATAATAAAATGAAATATTTTGAATTTAAGAATTACTTTAATTACAACAGAAAGTTTTATCTGTTTCCAGTATAATTTTATTAATGGAGCTCAAAACAACTCATAATAGTCAATATAAGAAACATTTTTGTAGTTCATTCAATCTTTCCAAAATTCAATTAAAATTTGTAATCAAGTTCATGACTCCCTTAATCAAATAATTTTAAAGTAAAGTTTCATTAATATGGAAACAAAAATGCAGCGACTATGCACCTTAAATATTTTGTACAAAAGTAATCCCTCAATTCACCATTTAAAAATTCGATGATATGATTATGTATTGATGATTGGAATCCATCATTTTTATATCAGATAAAAGCGACAAATTGATAATTGCAAAACTACACACCTTACAGGATTAGCATTTGTTAAAAATAATAAATAAAAGCATAATCCCCTAATTCCTCGCTATAAAAGTTTGATTATGTAAAATTCTTATTTAGTTTGTTTTTTTTTAATTTATTTTTATTTAATAAAATGTCTGAATATTTAAAAAATTGAGAAAATGAATCCTGTGGGCAAGGTTATATATGCTTGAACCAGGTATACATAAGTTATGGGTGGTCGCTAAGTTTTGAAGTATCGAATTTTGCGATTTTACTATCATTATTAATCAAATAAGAATATAGAGGATCAAAAGTTTAACAGTTATTTAAAATGAGTAGCTTTAAAATCCAGATTTGTATTCAGAGAAAATGGGATGTTTTGAGTGTATATACAGACAAAAATCAGGAATATTAAGACAAAAAAGAACAAAATATTTGTTATCAGGAAAATCAATATTATGAGACAAGTAGGAATCCTGAACACAAAGATAAATACAAAACAAAAATAATAAATTGTCTCACTTGCAGTAGATATTCATGATAATCAAAATGACTGACAAGAAGTTGCAGGACTCTGGAAGCAAATACGGCTGTTGTACCAGAAGTGCAAACCAAAGAAAGCAAAGGATCTACAATGCCTTCCTTTAAAACTAGAAACAAATATATATTATTGTTGATTTTTTTTTGTACCAGGACTAAAACTTTATTATTATTCTAGTATTTTTCAGAAATACAAAAGTATAAAATAATCATTCCTAATAAACTTGAAAAAATAAGATTTCAAAAGTTAAGTTAAAGTTCAGCAATTTAAAGGTAACATTTTTAACAAATACTAACATATATATTCAAGATAAGACTTAAAATTAACAATCGTTCCTTCATCTTGACAGTCGTCACACTAAAATTTGACTCGGCCCACCATATATTTTGATTTTTGTCAATTTATTTATTGTCAATATTGATTAATTTATTGTCACAATTGATTTATTGTTCATTAAGCAATAATCAGCTTTCACGTTAAGCGATCAGCATGAAAACTCCATGTTAAACATGTAAAATACAACAAGAATTGATTGCTGACTCACAGGACCAAACAAGCGTTTCATATAAAGCAATATTTACCGTTAAGCGGTTTAGCTTTAGCGATGTTTAGCTAAATTGCTCCAGCATTTTTCATTTATTTAAATGTATTCTTAATTATTACATATATAAGCAAAATATGCTATGCTACTAGACCAAACACTCCAGAAAAACAAAACAATGACGCATTTTTAAAATTGCATATTAAAACGATAAAGATAGAACAAAAGATTTTGAATAAGATACAAAAGGGTGATTGTGAGCCCAAGTCAAAATTCCGGAAAATTTCTTGAGTAAAGAAAAAAAAAAATTTAAATCGAAAAATTAGAAAAAAAATTTAAACAAGGTTTTTTCCTTTTTCTCAATACTTCTTAGTTTACTTAAAATATATTTAAAATTTTACTCTTACCTATACCATTTACACATACCAATGATGACCTGGAGAAGTAATTGAAATTTACTTTCTTTCTTGAGTTTATGATTATAATAACTATTTATCGTATTTCCCGGCGAATTTTTTTAATATCGTTTTGTTGCTGTTTTTTTGATAAAAGAGAACTTTCTTCATGTGAATTCTTTGTTAACGCATCTTAGGCTATTCTCTCCCCCCCCCCCCTCAAATAATTTAGAAATTATGTTACTTGATGTATTTTAAAATATTTTGTTGTATTCAACATTTAAAATTATTTCTTGTACTTAACTTTATTTTTTAACCGATAAAAATAGCTTCATTTTATATCGTTTTGTTGCTTTTTTTTTGTTGCTGAAAAAGCCTTCGATCTCCGGAAACTTCCGGATCACAGTTGGCGAAAACTCCGGAAATCCGGATTTTTTCCAGAGCACAATCAGCCCCGGACACATAAACGCAGAAATTTAGAGGGTAAAAAACATGACAATTTATTTTTCAGATTAGTTTTAGAAAAATGCCGAAACCAAATATTTTGAAAAATGAGAGGACATAAAGAATTTTTAAAGGGATAATTATATATAATTGTTATTGCTACTAACATGTATAAAAACTAATTTAAAGTGCAATTAGAATTTGAAATACAATGATTGTACAATTACCCCCTCTTTTAAACTTGTCAGATAGCGTTTTGATTTCTATGCAACGATAAGGTAAGACAATTTGGTTTCAAAAATCTGAGTATAATAAATAGTTTGTAAATTTTAAAATAACTAAAAATGTAAATGAAAAATTGTATTGTATAGTTTTATAATAACTATGCAACAATACATATTAAGTTATTTGTTTACATATTAACCCATGCAACATATTTAGAACAGCATAACAGCTAATGGCCTTTATTTGCGCTATTAACCAAATAAATATTTTTGTTCTAAAGGTTTGTGGAGGTTTATGAGAATTATGTAGAGTAGGTTTCAGTTTTTCAGCAGGTTTATTTATTTTTTATACATACACAAACCAAAAGTAAAATAAATAAATAATAATAATACCTTCCAATCTTAAATTAGAATCCATGCAAAATAAATTTAGAACGCTCAAGCTATCACTAAGAATTTCACTGGAGTCATAGGATGAAACCAGAAAACTAAAAATATAAAACAATTAATATAACTATGAAATAACACGCAACTAAAATGCTTCATTTGAAAGAAAATTTCTTATTTGTAGTGAGATATTTTTCAAATATGAATCACACTTCAAGATATCAATAAGACTGCCATTGTCATATTTACTTCTTAGGCACTATTGTTTTTTTTTCTTTCTTTTTTCAATTTTTTTATTTTATTTCCAATGCCTACCTGTGTTAACATTTCGTCAATTCAGGCATTTTAAAGGGCAGATTTGTTGGCCTTTTTTTCAAAGGCATCATATTAGGTGAGCCAACGTTGCTCCCACAGTAAGATCATATAGTATGGAGAATGAAAGAACATCCATGCCTTGCTCGGGATTCGAACCTAGAACCTTTTGGATGCAAGGGCAGTTCCCTGATCCCTACAGCTTCAATTTTAATGTAAAAAAATAAAACTTTTCTTTTTTTTAAAATTTAAATGTATTGTAAGAGAGTGTATCTAATTTTAATTTTTTTGTCAATATTGAATTAAAAATGTCTTTTTTTGCATAAAATAATCTTTAGGTAAAAATGTTTCACAAATGAGTGCAAGAAAGCTTTGGTTTGAGAAATTTTTAAAGGTATGAGAAAAAGAGCAAAAGTGCAAAAAAAAAACATTTTGACAGCTCTCCCGATAAATGACCTCCATTCATTCAGAGAGGTTGGTATGTTTGTCTGGCTGCTATTGACATAAGCACTGATTAATTAGTATATTTAATGTGAAACCTTCAAACTATTAGGATCGTATGTTAATCAGGCCTGTCGCGAACGGATTCGAGAAGTAGGCGTTGAAATTTATTTTGCCAATTGATTTTAATAATTTTGCCAACTATCATATATTGGTGATAGAAATGGGCTATAGGTGGCATATAGAACCTATGGCAACAATTCACATGCTTTCATCATTAGCGTGTGGAGAGTCATAGAAGAAGGAAGTACATTAGTTTCTGTTTTGATTTTCATATAGATTAAAATATTTTAAGTTAGGAAACTATCTGGAACTGACAACAACATTGAACATAGTTTCAAAAGAAAGCGTCGTGGAAATTTCAAAAAATATTTGTAACAATTAAATATGAAAAATATTAAAAACGAGGAAAATATCATAGTACATCAAAGCTGGTTAGCTGATGATAAAAGAAAGATCTGAATCGAAGAACTCACATTTCACAATGAGTCTAGGAAGAATTCCTGACGAATACAAAACACTGATAACATTGAAATCCATCTAACTCTCACTGCAGACAAAATATTAGACAATGTCAGGATTTCGGCCAAATAGGGGGTTTGGCTTGTTTCATGGGTCGATCATTATGCTTTGAATTATCACAGATTGTTGCTCTTGGAAGAAAGACCTGAATCGGAAAATTCGTGTTTCCCAGCAAGATTTGCCGAGTCTGATCTGAGACAAAGTCCCAAAATGATGGTTGAAAGGTTGAAATACATCTAAATCAAACTCGCAACACAGATAAGTCTGTAGCAATACAAATGCTTACAAATACAAACACTTTTTATGTTGCTTTTTCTCTTCCTCAAAAATAAATCTAATACTGCTTGTTTCATGTAACTAAACTAGTAAAACAAAGCTTTTGTTAAAGGCAAAAATAAAAAAATGCAGACTCGAGGCAAATTTGCTGACTAAGCGAAATCGCTGATCTTAATAAATGAAAACCTGATCATGAGATTAAAAGATTATTTTTGACACACCATTCAGCCCATTTGAGTTAACATATTATGGAAACCAACTAGTTGAAACTTATAGTTTTGAAAAAGTTTCTTGAAAAATAAGTTCATTTATAATTAAGTTGCACTTGAATTTTAACAGTTTGACAAAGACCTATATGTTACTGTAATTTACAGAAATAAGCATGGAAATAATAACTGAAATATAATCAAATGTAAGACAAACTTCTTTATTAATTTCAGACAACCAGATTCAAGTAAAAAATTGTTCAGAACTACTCTTTGGGTAATGGTATTTAAGACTGAAGCAACAGCTTTCTGAAAAAAAAAAGAAAAGGCTCAGTTATATTTATTTTAATTTAGTGAAGATGCAATCTTAAGAAATATATCAGTTAATTTTAATGTGTACATTACCAATAGAAGTTCAAAGACGCTTTAAATGTTGCTTCCCTTTATTTTCCCAATTTGTAAGGAAGAACTTAAAATTCTCTGAATTATCTCCGTGATTTATTATTTAGTCCTGATTATTTAGTATTTTAGATGATTTTTAAATTCCCTGAATTTTCCAGGTTTTCCCTATTCTCCCTGTGGAGTGGCAACCTTATTTTTATTTGATTTTATAGAAGTTCTTTCGTAGACCATAAAAATAAGCAAATAAATGAAATGATTTTGAGTTTAACATTAAAACAATCATTCACAATTGTATATCACTTCTCAGTAAATATATAATATAGATAATGCATAGAAGTCTATATTACTCATGACTAAAATTACCTTTGAATTGAAAAAGAAATAATAAGAAAAATGACTCACCTTTATTTTGAGGTCTCCATTAAGAGCTAAAGAGAACATCAAATGCAAACCACCACTTCCAATTACCTAAAAAGAGTTTAATTGGTAAACATATTTTATGCTAAATAACTTTTAAATATGTTAAATAATGATTTCTTTCAACATTTGCATTATAATACTTGTGTTTTTTCGCTAAAAGAGTAAGAAAACAACGAAGTCAAAGCACTAAATTTAAAAAGTGAGAAAGTGCAAGCAAAAGTAAAGTAACAAAGTACTTTTAACTTTCACTTTCATTACAAGCAACAAAAGTAATACTATTGCCATACATGATAATTCAAGCAGTAAAACACTCTAAAATTGTTACTTGATATAAATAGGTTAGAAATCTATTATAATTTAATTTTATTGAAGATATAGTGAGTGACCCTTTTAATTTTTTACACAAACAATATTTTTTTTTCTTTTCGATATCTATTTTGAAAATATAAAATTTGTGTCTTTCGATTTGTGAGATAAATTAACAATGTTCCTATTATAACAATAGATAAATAGATTAAATGACACCACTAACAAATTGAACTTTATTACAGGATGCATAGCATAATTTTCACAAATTATGTCTAAATTTGCACAAAATAGGTACCTGTCATAAAAACCTAGACAGACCCTTATATATAGAATTGTTCAATTCACCCGATATCTCATAGCCACTTTACGACCAATATTGACCCTATATAGAATTGTCAGATTCACCTAATATTTTATATTCATTATCTAGCCAATATGGATCCCATATTGGTCAATGTAGGCCCTATACACACTATTCTTTGACCAATATTAAAAAATCTATTATAGGACCCATATTGAGCCGATTTTTAGCCCAACTGGGCCAAGATAAAATTGTTGCTAGGGAACTTAAATTAGTAAATATTTCTTTAAGAAAAAATTAGAGTAGACAAAAGCAATTGAGACAGAGATCAAGATATCTTGAATATGAAATTAATGATAGCTGATTTTGTTAATTAGTGATGATTTATAACTCAAAACTGAAACATTTTGATCATAACTGAGAAAAGGAGAAAAAAAATCTCTGTTTTCTCTGATTATACCAAATTACCCTGATTTTTTAACTGATAATTTTAATTTTTTGGTTCTGTCTTACATACAATTTTTTGGTTCTGTCTTAGATTATAGAACACTTTTAGTTGCTATTAAATAAGAAAATTAAAAAAAAAAAAAGATTACAGGAATAAAACTAAACAAACACATTTAGTGAAAAAATTCAAGTACATGGTAACAAAAAGATGTTAAATCTGTTTTATCAAAATTGAAGACTAATATTTTTGAAGTGAAATTTTTTCTAATAAATGTTAAATCAACTTTTTCACAAAAAGTAATTTTTAAAGCTGACAAAATTTTATAAATATAAATACATTAGTCAAGCCAAAAAAGAGAAACTTATAGTAGATATCAAATTATTGGATATAAATTAAACCATTAAAAAATATCTGCCAGAATTTATACTAATTTTGGGGGAAAAAAACCTTCAGTTTCCTTCTAACTCAAATTTATTCCGTTTCTGAGTGCCTTAATTAAATTTCCTGATTTTTCCAAACTGATAAAATTCTTACCTTTTTTTTTAAACATTATTTCGCCTGATTTACTTGTTTGGTGGTAACTCTGATAAACAGTATTTTAGTATATATCTTTTATTTTATTAACAAATTCTCCATTAGAATATTTTTTTTACTTTAGTTATTGTTTGAAACTTGATTATGATTTATGATTAAAGATATAAAACTATATGTTGTGTGCTTATTTCTATATAAATGTAATGATTAGTATTTTTCTTAAAAACAGTCTGAAACTGCATTTCAAAAAACTTATAAATAATCACCATTAAATTAATGGGTCAGTCACATTTAGTTTCTAATTAGTTTCATTAAAAAAAAATACAATGATAACAAATACAATGAGAAAATTGATAAAGATAAATTTTACAAACTTGACAAAGGCCAGAAGCATTGGCTATTATTTCACACAGACCAAATACACCCTCTTGCCTCAACATCTATGAAAAGAAAGAAAAAAAACAAAATTTTTTTTCCAATTGCATTTTAATGATTTACAAGGTTAGATCTTTAAAATAGTAAATACTAGCAGCTATTCAAGCTTACATGCGAAATTTTTGTGTTCTTATAAGAAACCCAAAACATGGGTTATGTCTGTCCATTAAAAATCAGGGCAAGTTAGGTCATCAAAATAGATCAGAAGCTTTATTGCAAGCATTGTTCAAGCCATTTTATAAAGTTATGCAGTTAATTAACTTACAAATGAGGGTGGTCTCCGCTGGACACTTACACCCCTGAAGGAAAATAATGAAGCAGAGTTTTAAATAATTTATAGACCATATGCCCGGTGGCAGAATTTTTTCAAGCTATCTGCAACAAAACTCTCTAGCACTAATATCTTTCTGTAATATACTTTTATAATAGCAAACATATATGCCACAGGGTTGCCACAGAAAAAAAAAACTGGTGCTCTTAGTAGCCTAAACCATGAAAATAGTTGCCTAAATAAGGACAAAAATGTTTAAATAATATGAGTAAAATTTTATTAAATGACTTGTCATATACCATGATCTATTTAGTCAAGTTGGTAGCAAATATAATTTTTATACAAACGTTTGTGTTCTAGAACTAAATTAGCATATTTGCAGAAAAGTAAATANCAAGCATTGTTCAAGCCATTTTATAAAGTTATGCAGTTAATTAACTTACAAATGAGGGTGGTCTCCGCTGGACACTTACACCCCTGAAGGAAAATAATGAAGCAGAGTTTTAAATAATTTATAGACCATATGCCCGGTGGCAGAATTTTTTCAAGCTATCTGCAACAAAACTCTCTAGCACTAATATCTTTCTGTAATATACTTTTATAATAGCAAACATATATGCCACAGGGTTGCCACAGAAAAAAAAAACTGGTGCTCTTAGTAGCCTAAACCATGAAAATAGTTGCCTAAATAAGGACAAAAATGTTTAAATAGTATGACTAAAATTTTATTAAATGACTTGTCATATACCATGATCCATTTAGTCAAGTTGGTAGCAAATATAATTTTTATACAAACGCTTGTGTTCTAGAACTAAATTAGCATATTTGCAGAAAAGTAAATACTTTTAATTACTAGAATTCATTAAAAAAACATACTTATACTAAGAAATTTTTGCTTTTATCAATAATTGATTTAGAAAATATATATATTATGAAAAGAAATTACTCGAATTTGAAATTCATGCATCGTAACATGGTATTGAAAATTGGGTATTTTAAAACCATGCAGAATTTTGTAACAATAACCGAGCGATCGAGAAACAAAATAGACTTACAATGGAATTTGTGCAAATTGAGCACATTCAAGAGTGATGAGTCAAATTTGTAATTCAAATTTTTTATTTTTTTAAGAAGAAAAAAATTCATTGCGTTCAAAAGCACTGGTGGGCCGCAGGTTGTCAATCCAATTTATGCTAAAAAACATTCTTAAGAGTACGGATAAATCCCCAAATAGTTTCTTTTTCTTGAATAATAGTTGCTTTTTCAGCCTTTTCACGCAAAAAAAAAGTTGTTATAGTCGCCTCAGGTTGAAAATAGTTGCCTGTGGCAACCCTGTACTAATTTAAAATAACAAAAGCACTGTGTTAACAAAAGAAAAAATTATAAATAATTCTTTTTAATTGAACATATAATTTTTTATTCTAATATTATGGGAGACATTCTCGCAATTTGTTGGGGGAAAAAACAGACTAATTATTACCTTCTTTTCATTTTGTAAATAATCATCACAATAAAAAAAATTAATAATTAAAAATCATGAAATCTGTAGTAGCAATTGCAAAAAAAAAAAAAAAAAAAAAAAAAAAAAAAAAAAAAAAATCAACAACAAAATTATGCAGCATTCTAAAGTTAGGGATTTTCTAACCATATCAAATAATAGTCTCTTTTTATTTAAGACATTCTGAAAGAAATAAAAAAAAGTTGACAATTTATAAAACTGAGAATATAAAAATTGCAATCTTACCAAATCATCAGACTTTAACTTGTATAATAATTCTACTAAATTTTTACAATCATTGCAAACTTTTTCTGCATCTGGCATTCCAAAATGAGGGAGTGGAACCTAATAAGAAAAATCAAGATGCATTAATGTGTAAAATTGTTAAATGAACAAAAATATTGAAAGGAAAGTATCAATTAATAACTTTTGGTTATGATTTAAAGAGAAACATAGTAATTTGTGTTAATTTTATAATTATTGGCATAAAAAGTTGCAATATAAGAAAAATAGTTGCTTTAGCTGCTTCAAATATGAAAAACTGTCTCAAAATACTTTTAAGACGTAGCCATAAGAGCTCAGGGGGTAGAGCGTTCGCCTTACAATGAGATGGACCCGGTTCGAATCCCAGGTATAGCTGGTCGATACGAATTCCTCATCTGGCTTGCAACGGCTACAGTGTCAACGTAAACTATCCTCAGTGGTAGACAGATCATGGGTTAGAGTCTTCTTGCCGTTAGGCCAACAGTGGGAGGTTTTTGTGGTTTTCCTCTCCATGTAATGCAAATGTGGGTTAGTTCCATCGAAAGGTCCTCCACATAGGCGAATTTCTCCCATTACTTGATCCAGGAGTTTCCTTGCCTTCTGGATTAGGTTCAAAATTACAAGGCTGCGGAGTTAAACATTGATAGTCGTAAGCCCAAAACTCGGGTCGGCTGTTCAACGATGGTTATAAAATAAAATGGGCAACCTGAAAAAGTGTTAAGGGACTGCTACAATATGTTAAATAAGGTCCAATAGACTGGAGAACTGCTGAAAATTTTAGTCCCCTTAAAGTTAATTTCACACTCTACGCATTTAGTCATATCTGTGAAGTTTTCAGGTAAATTGAACTTTTTCAACTAAATTTTGAATTTTTTTAAGTCAAATATAATTTCATGTAAAAAATAATTCATTATTTGATATAATGAAGGTTACGAAATTTTGAATTAAAAGTATAAAATTTTTCACAACATTTTAAACTACATAATTTTAAATGACAAAATGCACAATTTGAGAGAAATCAATTAAACAATTTTTAAATCAGAGAATTAAACAAAAGCTATATTTTTCAAATTATATTTCTATGTAACTATTTCGCCAATTTTAAATTTTGTCATTTAAAATTACCTAATTTAAAATTATAAAAAAGTTTGTTTATCTAACAATTCAAAATATTTTTCTTTTAAATAAAATATATCTCTAAATGAATAAAAATGACTCTTTTTCAATAAAATAATTTTTAAAAAAATATGAAAAATTATTTTTTACGTGAAATTTCCTTTGAATCAACTAAATTTGTAATTGTGTGCAAAATGTTTTCAATTTGCTTAAAAAATTTGCAAGATATAAAGAAATAAACACAAATAAAATAAATTTTAAAATGGAAGGACTTAAAATAGAAGTGACTCGAAAGCATTCTTTTGCATATAGAATCACAGATTCCAAATTGAAGCTACCTTCCATATTTTGATAGTTAAAAAAACAAATGCGTCAGGAAAAAATAGGTAGATATATATTCAACAAAAGAACATTTTTGTGCCTGGTTTGGTAAATTGATTAAGAGTAAGGAGTAAGTAATAATTAATTAGCAGATTTGAGGTCTCCTTTAAATTATTATGATCAGTACTTAGTTTGTGAAAAGCAGATTATTAGAACATAAGTTCTTCAAGGTAATATTGGGTACAACTTTTCTAAAACCATTTTTAATTATTTAATACTTAAAAATGTCTATTTTTATTTATTTTTAATTGTTAGATAATAATAAAATAAGTTTAATGACCATCATATTGCAGATGAAAAAAGAGTAACAGTGCAAAAAATTGAGAAAAGAAAAAGTCTATATTTGTAAATTTGTCATTTTGGACTATATTTTAGCGAAAATAGTTACGTACTCTCCAAAATAGTCATTTTAGTCACCAAAGGCAGCCTTATGACTAGCAAAAAAGAAATAAAACATTTAATAGCTGTTAGGTAAAAGGAAACAAAATCACAATTTCTTTAGGGAGAAATAAAAAGGACCACACTATTTTGGAATGAAAGAAGTTTAACTTAAAGAGATACCTTTTGGGAGCAACAGTTAGAGCAAAATATTCTACCACAATTCCTACAATGATGCTTTCTTCTAAAAGCTGTGAATTTAGAATCACAGATAGGACAGGTATTGACATCAGCATCGGGTAACCACCTAAAATCATTAATTAAAAGCATTTAATTTAATTTTTAGAATCATAGATAGAACATACAATAGCTTTAACATTATATTTGAAATGATTGAAAATATTTCAAATAAATTAAGAATCACCAGATAGGAGAAACATTGACTTCAGCCATCAGAAAACTTACTGAAACATTTAATCACTCCCTGTGGCAGAACTTTTTCAAGTTTTCTGCGTCATATCTTTCTGCATGATACTATGATACTTTTAAAAATAACAAATATACATGTTGCAGAAACGTCAACAGAAAATAATAAAAACGTCAACATAAAAATAAAAATTATTTTTCAAAAATATATAAAATATTTATTTCATTATATTATCATGGGTGATATTCTCGCATTTTGTAGGGGGGAAACACACTGATTATTTCCTTTTTCGTATTTTGTAAATTATCATCACATTAAAAAAAAAATTTTGAAATCCGTAGCAGTAATTAATGAAAAAAAAAAGATCGATGACGAAATGATGCAAATCACATGATAAAAAGGGTTGCTAAATGCGTGCTTTCATTTCGAGATTCGGTTGTTGTAATAAATAATATCATATAAGAAATACAGGATTTTAAAAACTATGTGGAAATTAATAATAATGACTGCATAAAAAATATTCGAACGAAAACTCCCGCAGAAAAGAAAACCAAATTTTTCACTTAATTATTCTTTATTTTTCATTATTATCAATCGAGAATAGAAAAATCGCAAGCTTTTTTTGCTACTTCAATGAGCGAGAAAGTCATCTTTTGAATATAATTCTGAAGAAAAGATTAAACTTTTGAAAATTTGTTACTTCCCAAAAGAAAAATCTTTCTGCAAGAACTCGACAACGTTGGACGACAATGTCGCCGTGACGCCACAATTCTGCCACTGGGTAATCACTTCATTGAAATTTAGAAACTAAGATAAGACAGATATCAACTTCATCATTTGTATACTTGTCAACAACATTGAAGAAATAAAATAATGGAGATTTTAATAGCGACATTTTTTAGGCTATAAAGTTTTGATACATCATGCATAATTATGTGAGTCAAAAAGAGAAATTCAAAATTGGAAATTATATAAGCACTTACATTTAGTTAAGTAAAAAATATGTATATAAATCTTAATCTAAAGAAGTTTTTCTTAAAACATTATTTACAATTACTTAAACTATTAACACTCAAAATACTGCAGTACTGACAATAGCACCATCTGTTGAGGCATAAGAGAAATATTTCTGACATCAGCAGATATTTTATAGCTAAAAAAAAATTTTTTTTTTAAAATTTCTTCAACAAATATGGAGAAATTTGTGAATGTACAGGTAAATAGGAGATAGTTATAAAGTACAAGAGTCTTCAATAAAAAACAGGTAACTTGGCAGATATGCATTTAACAACTTGAATGTCTTTAATTATTGTAAACATTTAATGTAAATTTAGAAACACAGATAAAACAGACACTAACTTCAACATCAAGTAACCATTTAGATATTTAATGTAGGTGCTTGAAACTATTGAAAACATTTTTACAAATTGAAAATCTCAGCTCGCACAGATATTAATTTCATCAGGCAACCACCTGAATGCATTAAATCACTGAAAATAATTCATATAAATTTAGAAACAGTGATAGGACATACATTGACTTCAATATCAGATAACCATCTGAAAATATTTACAGGTTGTGTAGCCAAATCTTTCAACAAAAAATAAGCAACTTTTAAGTACTTTTTAAGCACTCATAAAATATTCTTAAGCACTATTTACAATAACAAAATGCAAAATAATTTTTAAAGACTTTACATGATCATGATAAAATAGCTAGTTCCTGACACGGAATTCTTTTCTTGGTTATATTTGCCATTATAAAATGCTTGAGAGATTTTTCGGTTCAACATCAGAGGGTGGAAAATGAAGCCTAAAATTTAGAATATATCTTGCAAAATGCAGCAGAGTTGCACGTGAGGAGGAAATAATCTCCCCGAACCCAGCTCAGTACACTCACAAGTATTTCATCAAGCATGTAAAATGATTGGCGCTTCCATACGCTATGGACTGATGGTACACTGAAATAGATTGTTGAATGAATTGTGAACGTTGAATAGAACAATATGAAAAGCATGCTTTTGCATAATCGACATGGTAAATGGTGCTGGGGAGATTTCCGTATCGTGATCTGGGGCAGAATTATCGTCAAGTCTTGGAAACTTCCGGACAGTAGCCCGCGAGAAACTTAAAAAAATATCACAGAAAGGGACCAACTCAAAAGGTATACTCATAGCCACCCCCAAGCAAACACATCTTAATGTTTTCTTTCTTTTTTTTTAAATGTGCAAGTTTAAAATCTATTTGGCACCTTGGCGATTGTAGTTGGCGCGACAGATCACGATACGGAAATATCCCCAGCACAGAGCACTGCTGAGCAGAAAGGAAAGTATTTGTATTGGTGGAATATAATCGTTAATATTCAGAAACTATTATTGGAAACTTTGTGCCTACTTCTGAAAGTGTGCAAAAAAAGGGGGAGGGGAAATTTCAAACTTAAAGCTATTTATGGAGACTTATTTATTTATAGGGGGGGAAGATTCACGTATTGTGATCTGGCGAGCAAACTACAATCACCAAGATAACAAATGGATTTTAAACATACAAATTTAAAAAAAAAAAAAAAACATGTTGATGATTGCCCGGGCTGGTTACGCGTTATACCTGTCAAGTTGGTCCCTTTCTGAGTTTCTTTTTTAAGTTCCTCGAGGGCCGCTGCCTGGAAGTTGCCAAGACTTGGAGATTATTCTGCCAGAGATCATGATACGGATATCTCCCCCACATAAACGACATGGGAATATTTCCGTATCATGACCTGTCGCGCCAACTACAATTGCCAAGGTGCTAAGTAGATTTTAAACTTGCAAATTTAAAGAAAAAAAAAACATGTAGATGTTTGCACTGGGGTGGCTACAAGTTATACTTGAGTTGGTCCCTATCTGTGATGTTTTTTTTAGTTTCTCGCGGGCCACTGCCCCGAAGTTTCCATGACTTGGCAATTATTCTGCCACAGATCATGATACGGAAATATCCCCAATGACATTATGGCTCGAGTTGGCAAAACCTTGCAAGTCAGTGAGTGAGAGAGGAAAAGAGATAGTCTATTAGGATTTGTAAAGTGTGATTTTCTCCTTTTTATTTTCAGTCTGGTTATGATTCGGTAATCTTCAGTTAATAAATTATGCACTTATTACAATACCTATTACACAAATAATTAAGCATCACTGTCGTCAATATCTCAGCGACTGTTTTTACAAGTAATAACTATTTTTACGGGGTTTTCAGATATGTACCACAAAGCGTATTTAAAAAATATGTCAAAAAGATTTAAACAGGGAAATTTCCATTTAAACGAACTTAAAAATTATGGTGTAAAACAAAACATAAGTTGTTCACAATTTACCCTGGCTTTTGAAATGTCAAAGAAGAAGAAAGTGGGGATCCACCCCCTGTTACAATTGGTAAATTTAGAGCAACTCCATCGATAAATAAATTTTCAGTACCAAAAGGGTTCATACTTCTTTACATAAAAATTAGGTTCAATATAATTTAAACAAGCAACACATTTAACTTTCAAATTCGAAGTGCAAGAAATTAAATAACTTCATTCTTTTAAAACTGCAAAGACCAAAACAGATTGAGGAATTAATTATGTGCATTTCAGATTACTTAATTAGATAATACTTTTCTCGCATGCATTTTTTATTCAATCTAAATAAGAATTTAATTATGTATCACTTCGAGTATGTATCAACCTTGTAAAAGTAAACAAAACAAAATTTTATGGTCATGGGTAAAATATCCGTACAGCTGTTTTTGCCGACGTTGACAGCAGCGCCACTTATAATAAAACAAAATTGGTGATCAAAATGCGCTACAGGTGGCGTAGAGCTGGAATTCTTTACCTATGGCAACACTTTAGATGGTTTCACTGTTAGCGTGTGGAAAGTCATAGAAGAAAGATGTACGTTAGTTTCTGTCTTGATTTTCATATAGATTAAAATCTTTTAAGTCGGGAAATTATATGGAACTAGAAATTAAATTAAACATAGTTCTAAAAGAAATCATCATAAAAATTTTAAAAAAAATTTATTAATTAAAAAGAAAAAATATCAAGAAAAGGAAAAATATCGCAAAATATTCCTATAAAACTGAAAAGAGGAGGAGAGGGAAGGGAGAAGGGCCAAAAGCATAAAACCGCTCTTCTCCCAGGGCGTATTCGAGCATTGCGATCGCCTATTCATAACACTAATATCTAAATAAATAAAACTTTAAATTTTTTAAAAAGCTTAGAAATTTTCAAGATAATTTAGAGAATTAAATTCACATTTTTTTTCTCTTGGTTTTTTGTGAGAAGAAAATAATTGCGGATAATGTAGGTAGGTATTTTACTTACTTCCCACTAGTGGCGATCGCAACACTCAAATACGCCATCTGGGGAAAGACCGGTTTCATGCCTTTAGCCCTTCTCCCTACTCTCTCCTCCTCTTTTCAGTTGTATAGGAATGTACTACGATATTTTCCCTTTTCTAAATATTTTTCCTTTCTATTCAATAAAAATATTTTTTAAATTTCCATGATACTTTTCTTTAGAGCTATGTTTAATGCAGTTTTCAGTTCCATATAGTTTTCCAACTTAAAAGATTTTAATCTACATGAAAATCAAGAGAGAAACTAACGTACTTCCTTCCTCTATGACTTTCCACACTCTAATGAGGAAGGCGTGTGAAGTGTTGCCATAGGTAGAGCGTTCTGCTCGACGCCACCTGCAGCCCATTTCGATCACCAAGAGCTGTTCAAAAATTCCCGAGGATGATCCGAAGGCGAATTGCCAAACCATACCATAGATTGGAAAGGGTTGACGAAAATTTCTATTGGCGTTAAAGAAGAGTTCTCACCAAGCAGCTGTGCGCTTACGTTGTTATTATGTTTTCAGTATCACGCATCCATCATTCACCAAATTATATATGGGTGCGACATTTCAGAGTTTCAATTAAGTGCGTCTTTAATAGATTCTTTTGCATTAAATTAAATATAAAGCGTATTTTTTTGTTATAGCGCCGACCTAATTGTTTGTATCTGTTAACTAAATTGTATTTATTAGCGTTTTTTAAAAGGTCGTAATAAAACTAAGATAAAAATTTTTTTTATTATTTCCTCCATAAATATAATTTCATAATTTTCATTAAATGTACATATTTCGAGTAGTGAACTTCTTTTCCTACTCATCCACGAATTAAAATTTATTGTTTCACAATATCCTTTAATCCTTAATAATGAAATGATAATTACAATAAAGTTTGTTTACTTAAAAGATTAAAAAATTTTTATTTTTATTGTTTAGCTGTTGTTGTTAGCAGAGACTTTGTTTCCAATTCTATGTTCATTAATTAAACTTAATGGTTCTGCTTGATAACCATTTACAATTTTTAAAATTTTATTTAATTTTCAGTTATAATGGAATTCTTTAAATATTTTTTGACGTATACGTATAACTATAGAGATTATTTAGCAATAATGCGACAAACTGAAATTTATAAATGTGTAATATTTGTAAATGTTTAAGAGAATTTTTAGCAGCTACTTTGTACTAATTATTTTAGTTGAAATGTTCATTATACACAGTTTTGTAATAATAATCGTAAAATTCATTGCACAATTGAGTACTACATTTTAAAATGCAAGTGTAATTTAATAATTATTTCATTTTATAATCGTAAAACGGTAGATAAGTAACTTTCTCATAAAGTTTTACATGATACGAGAATATTATACGATTGCTTTATAATGAAAGAACAACAATTTAAGTTCTAAACTTTTCGTGGAAAGGAAAAAAAAATGAAATTTTTTCCTGTCATTGGTGTTAGCGATTAGAGAGTCTTTTATCGTATTAAGTCAGTATTGTTCCCTTTTAAATAAAAATGCATTTTGCTCCGGAAAAAAAAATTACTTGAATTTTGTCAATAGAAACTCCCTTAATTATTGCAGCAAGAACTTTAAAATTTCTAACCAAACTTTCCTTTATTATAATTTTGTGTAAATAATTATTATTAATAATATAAATGACTATTAAAAGGAATTAATTGAGAATGTCCAATTTTAATGAATTAATGGTTGTTGTTGTTAATTTACGTCACACTAGAGCTTCACAATGGGCTATTGGCGACTGTCTGGGAAACATCCCGGAGGATGATCCGAAGACATGCCATCACAATTTTGATCCTCTGCGGGGTGGACGGCACCCCCGCTTCGGTAGCCCGACGACCTGCGCGTGAAGTCGAGCACTTTACGGTAGCACAGTTTAACGAGGACCAATACCGCACACCCTCGGTCTCTACGCAGACTGATCCAAGTGGTCACCCACCCGCTTAATGAATTAACTGTTTACGCAAACAGATTAATACCTTTGTTCATAATTTACAAATGGAGAAAAAGTCTTTTACAGTTTAAAAACGAGGAAAAAAATAAAGTTGAGATTAAATTTACAAAGTAAGCACAACCCGAAGGAGGTTGAAGTAATGGCATTAAAATCTAAATTTCAAAAGAAAAAAAACGTTTTAGTGTACAGTGAGCAGAAAACAAAAAATCTAAAACTAACTTTTGATCTAATGATCAGATGTTTACGTTTTAGACTCCATGACTCAATCTTAATGGATCTCAAATATGCCACTTAATTATAGCAGACAATACATTTTAAATTGGGAAATCAGACACTAAAGCGCACTTAATAGTTTGAGAAACTTTTTTTTCCTGCGTATTCGCCTCTTTGATCCCCAGTATTTAGGGGTTGCACAGGAAGCAAGTGCTTCCTCTGTAAAATTCTAGGGGGGCCCCCAAATGACGGAAATTAAGGGCCCAATTTCTTATTTTTGCAACAAAAAAAAAATAAATAAATAAAAAATAATAATAAAAGAAGTAAGAAAAAAAATCACTCCAATAAAAACTCTCGAAAAAAAATGGGATGCTTAATTCGCGATCGCAAAACTCGAATACGCCATCTGGGGAGAGACCGGTTTCATGCCTTTAGCCCTTCTCCCTTCCCTCTCCTCCTCTTTTCAGTTGTATAGGAATGTACTACGATATTTTCCCTTTTCTTAATATTTTTCCTTTTTATTTAATAAGAATATTTTTTAAAATTTCCATAATACTTTTCTTTAGAACTATGTTTAATGTAGTTTACAGTTCCATATAGTTTTTCAAGTTAAAAGATTTCAATCTATATGGAAATCAAGAGAGAAACTAACGTACTTCCTTCCTCTATGACTTTCCACACGCTAATGGGGAAAGCATGTGAAGTGTTGCCATAGGAAAAGAGCTCTGCTCTACGCCACCTGCAGCCCATTTCGATCGCCAATAATGCCACGTTTGTAAAAGCATCGCAGTCGAAATATTCTGGTTTTTCTCGTTGGGTTGGCTATAAGCAACTCAAGCAATAAGCAACATCCAATCACAAATCCCATGCCTATGTTCATAAGCCAATCACATTATTTCTTGTTGCATATTGTTCCTTCCCCCCGATTATGATTAAATTCAAATACGATTACGCAGTCGTCTTTTAAGTTACATAGAGTTACTTGAATTGCAATGACATAAAATTAGTTATTATTTAACTTTTATTTTTCATGCATTAAATTTTTTTTCTTCTTGCGTTTAATTCTTATCTTTTCTTATTTTTTTTAAAAATCTTTTTTCTCTATTATGTGTGCTTAATTTAATTTTACTCTGTTTTTTATTGTTGAACTAAACACACAAGACTTTTAACTATTTATTAGTACAAAAAATATCTTTGTTTCAAGTTTGAAAATTATTTGGTATGATTTTTCTGGTGCAGTAACAATAATTTATGCTGAATTAGAATTTTGTGCTGTTTTGGCGCTAGTAAACAAATTGGTGTAAAAAAAGAGACTAATCTTGCAAAGAACCTTTCATATAACAACAAGTAATTTTTTAATTTAATTTAGTGAAATATTTAAATTTTGTTAACATATGTGCTAGTTACTCCCTCATGTTTTTGTTACTATAAAGCACGTAAAGAAGGGTCCAACATGATTACATAAGATCTCTGTATTCCTTTCTAAGGTTCTAATAGTTTTCACATAGTTCTTGTCTCTTTAAAATGTACTGATTATGGGCGAAAAATATCAAAAGTTTCTTTTGCTCAAGTTAGGGGGGCCCCTAAATCCTATTATGCTTCCCCTATTTTCAGAGGTTAATCGGGCCCTGACCCCTTAGTGTTAACTTTACTTTTTACGCATTTCACCATATCTCGGAAACTTTCCAGTGAGCTTTTAAGTGAATTGGAAATTTCTTGCTCTCAATGTTTTAATGTTAATTTAATTTAGGATTTCCTAATTTCCCTATCACTATTGTAAGATATTTACTTTTCACCTTACTTGTAAAATTAAAAAGTTTAGAATTCTTTACAAAATCACTAAGGCGAAGTGATTGTGTTTGATTTAAATCTTATTTAGAAAGTATTTTTCTATAAGTATTTCATTGAAAGTTTTATCTAACTTTTGTTTTTTATTTATCTATAGTTATTGAAAGTTAAGTTGATATTTTTTAAGTTGAAATGAATGTCGTCCCGCTTTGCATATTTCAAAAATTATTTCAAAAGAAATATAACTTAACATTAAACACTCAGGACTAACAATTATAAATCAAACATTCACTACATTTATTTATTAAAAAACACTCTTATGAACTGATAATAAATTGATCTAAGTCTTAAATGTGAGTTCTATAACATATAATTTATTTAAACATACATACATCTAACCTCTGTTGTCGCCAATGGCTGAATTTTAAAATATA